CCCCAAAACCCCAAAACCCCAAAACCCCTATTTTAGAATAAGTTATTGAAAATGGATGATCTTGAAAGGGCGCTTGGAGAAAAGAGAAGTGAAAGAGGCTGGGTGGGCAAGAGGAGAGCAGGGTCAATGGAGACTGGAAGGGTGAAGGGGATTGTAAATGGTAAGTGGGTGACTAAGGAGGGAAAGGAGGGATTTTTAGGAGTTTTGGAGGTAGAATTTGTGGTTTTTTTGGTTGTTTTATGGGGGTTAGAGTATTTTTTGGGGTTCATATGGTTTTAGTGTAAATTAAGCATTTTTAAGGATATTTTTTGTATAGAAGATGGGATTCAGGCATTAAAGTATGCAAATTTCCGTATGGGAACACCTTACATAATGAAAAAGAAAACTCAATATAATGTAACTAACAAGTTTGATTTCAACCAATTCATTTCTCGTACGAACTCAGGAGGATGCTTAAACCTACTCAACAGGAAACTCAAAACAAAGTCTATAGATATATAAAAAGTAAATTTTATTTTCAAAAATTTCATAATCGTTTCAAAATAGCTTTCCTAGGGAAGAAAATATTTGTTGCATCTAACAAATGCTCTATTTATACACACAAAAAACCTGAGCCTAGAATCTCCGTTACAAAGACAGTCTCTTCACGACCAGGGAACGAGAGCACCAAGAGCTTAAGTTCTTTAATTCATGAAAATTTTAACTGAAAATCTCGAAAGCGTAAGCCACTTCTAATCTCTAGAGGTTTACATGAACAAGAAAGGCATCCTAAAGAGTGCATATAGAAAGATCAAGAATAAATATAGCACAAAGATGAAGAGGTAGGCCCATATTCTCATGACATAGGAATAAAAAACCAGATTTCTCCTTCCTTCCTGTCAAACAAAAAATGTGGAAGCAATGGAGAGAGGAATCAGGTACAAACTCTTGGCTTACATACATATAGCTGAGTCACAGAAGTCTTCGATAAATGATATCTCTCCGATTCAGAGTAAATACGAGTAAGCAAAGCTCCTTCCTTAGAGATGTAATCGAGAATTTAGGACTGAAAAGGAGAAAATAAAATCTCCTTCAGTCCAAGTATTAGACAAAAACTTTTCAGAAGTTATCTTCGAAGAGAAGCCTGCCTATCCTGAGAAACTTGAGAAAGAGCTTCCAGAGGAGCAAAAGGAAGATGGGACTCAGAAGAACACCAAATTTGAAGCTCCTCTTAAAAATGTTAGAAACAGGAAAACCCAGTGTATCAGGTAATTCATTGAAATGATATTTCATAGAAGCTACTCACAACCAAGGATTTCTAAATAACAATGAGAGATTTTTAGAGAGACAAGAGTTGCTAAGCAGCAAGCGTGAGACTTTAGCAACTCCTAAAACCGACCTTGTCAAACAATTTCATTCTACATTTAGAAAGCAGGCACCTTTGAGGGATTACAAGTCGGTGCATCAACACTTCAGAGCAATGACAGATTTAGAAATTCAAAGAAAAGGTTAGACTTTCCTTATCCATAGACTACATGGTTGCTCAGAGGTTGTTCCCTCAAGAATTTACCATCTACAACACACAAAGTTTAAGAATCTCAACGCTGTAAGTTCCTTGCTAATTTTTTAGGGCGAGGACCCACAAGGAGAATCTTCATGTGAAGCTTCCTTCCTCTAGAAGAAAGATACTCTAAATGAGTTAAGTTCAGGTTTCAACACTGGGGATTATTTAGGGGTTTTGGGGTTTTGGGGTTTTGGGG